ATGCTATAACTGTAATGGCTACGGCCACATCGCACGTGATTGCCCTGAGCCTAAGTGCCCGCTCAAGTGTCAGCGTTGCCAAGCAACTGATCACACTCAATGCAGTGGCCAGGCTTTGCTGTATAACGAGACAAATGCTGTCAGAAAAGTGCGGAGAGAGTGCGGTGATGGCGGCCCGCATGTGGCCCGCAACCCTATCGGAAAAATTGCCATGGTGGATACTGGAAAACATGGTGGGAGTAGTGGAAATAATAGTGGGCATGGTGGAAATAATAGTGGGCATGGTGGAAATTATGATGGCTATGGTGGGACGTAGTGGAAAATATGGTGGTTATGCTGGGACATACTGGGTGATATGGTGTACAGATGATGGGTAAAGTGCAAATGATGGTGGAAAGCAGAGGCTAGATAGTGGGCAATAATGGGACACTCTGCCCACCATTGCGATAATGCTGGGAAGCCCTAAGTATATGGTGGGTGGTGCTTATTATGGTGGGTTACATGGTGTACCAAGTTGAGAAACTCTTCCCACCATTGCGATAATGCTGGGAAGCACTAAGCAGATGATGGGTGCTGCTTGTGATGGTGGGCCACATGGTGTACCAAGCTGAGAAGCTCTGCCCACCATCGTGATAATGCTGGGAAGCAGTAAGCAGATGATGCGTGGGCTTATAATGGCGTGCACTTTATATAGTGTACAAAGCTGGGATCTGTACACTACATGTTCTACCACCATGATTTCCACCAAAGGTTAGGCCTACTGACCGAGCCCGTACAATTGTGTTATCCGTGCTTCCGGGTTTCAGAATACATGATTACGACGATTAAGTATGACAATACAGCGCAGCCATATGACATCAATTAACCTAAATGAAGCATTTTTCATTGTTTATGGTGTCCGCTCAAGAAGCAACAAACATCGATACGATGCGATTAAAGCACTCCCAGAGAACGTAATTAAGTGTCTTCTCACCGACAGCCGCCAGTCACTATCGCCGGCACTTCTCTAGCTTTTGTACGAGAACTCAGACGTGCAATTCGTGTGCTTGATGAACCAATATGATAGCGTAATGTTTCCGGCACACTGCATTCGTTTTGGCCAAGCCGTTATGTAGTTGTTGCTTTAGCGAAATAGCTACAGCATTGCGCTGGCGCGACCGCCCTCTACATTGCGCGAAAAGCATCCAAATACTCAATCAAATAAATTAGGCGGGCGTATCTATGGAATGAGCCTAAAAGCGTCATAAAGCGTGAGCAGATGTCGCCCTTTAGAACGAGCGCGAAACGGATATTAAACTTGGCAGACCCCGCCGGTAAACTGTTGCTGCTCCCCAGTCCACTTGGTTTTTTTTCTTGAAGTTGTGAATTGTAAAAGAAAAAATAGCACTAGTGCCATTAACATAGTGGCGATCGTTACAGGCCGCAGTTGCTTGTGTTTAATAAATGTGCAATATTTAGTAGCAGGTGTAGATCTTGTCTATGTTGTGTACACGACAAACATAACTAAGTTGAACCTTAAGTTTGTATGCCAACTAAGTCTTTAACACGCAATCAACGTCATGTTGGTGTGGCGCAGTGGTTAGCGTCTTCGAATGGGAATCCGCAGGTTGCAAGTTCGATCCTCCGTGGCGCCGTGTTTTTTTTTTTTACGGGACGGGTGTTTTTTATACCGTTTTTATAGAATTCTTTTTTATTTTTCTGGCAGCTCGTCACGGTGATTCTGACGTCATTTCGCGCTCAAGTGTTGCCGGCACTGCAGCACCCACCATACCCACCATGCGCCATGGTGGGCGTTTCCCACCATTCACCCACTACATTAATCCACTATAATGGTGGGTGGTGGTTTCCACCATGCCCACCATTCGTTTTTTTCCAATAGGGAAGCGCTGGTCTCGAGGCTACGGTGTCGCTGCGACCGTGCCTTGCGGTTCGCAGCAGGGCAAACGCTATTCTAAAACTCTTATGGCGCCCGCTTCGCCCGCAGCGCTTGCAAACGGTATTCTAAATCTCCCTATTGACACAGGGAGTTCTGGTGACTTTTTGCGCGCGTTAGCGGTAGCACGATGCAGCATCGAGATGGTTCAGCAACTGACCGAATAATAAGGGTTTGACAGCCAGCATGTTCCCGTGACGAAAAGCCTCGGTCATTGTAAGGCAGGCTAGGTTGAGCATAGCTAGGGTTATCGCAGAAAATGTGCCTGTTCTGATATCCCCTGCCAATTCACTAAGAATTGACATGTTCGTGGGCCGAACGTTCGCCGAACTGCCCAACGTCACGCATGCCAAGATGGGGAGCACGTTCCGCTTCTACCATCTAAATGATTGTCCTTTTGCTCATCTGGTGTCATCGCAGTAGCAGCTTGAACTACGCGTGACAGCGAGACAACGTGAGCTCCAAAAATATTCTGTGAATTACATCACTACGTCCAGCGATCGCTCTGTCACCAATATTCGAGGACACGGTGGATTTGATGTGCTTCCTAAGAGGAAATCAGAAAAATCAGCGACTGTTGACGGTCCTGAGCAGGTTGGTTGGGGTATCAGATTGAAAGCAGATGAGTGTAATAGGAAACTACGCCTCAAGCGAGAGTACCGACAAAATTTCATTCAAGATAGTTCATGACTACAAGTCAAGTTTTAGGGAATTGCAACTTCAGCAGCTTAATGATACAGAAATCTCTTCGCAATCAACTCAGGAATTAAGGCCACATGTGCGTCAACGTTTACTCGAGGAACCCCAAGTTCCCGAAAGGTGTCTGCAATCATCAGAGCTATACTCTAAAGCCCTCCAAAGTTAGTGAAATGTTTTTTTTTTTTTGGGGGGGGGGGGGGAAGTCTTGTAAACGCCAGTTTTACGACTACAACTCAGCCGAAACGTGATGGAGCACTTGTCGACACACACGCTTTGCCTGCGGACACTCATAGCGTCACTGACTCACGTCCTGAAGGGAAAGGCCGATATTCAGAAGCTGACTACGCCTCACTACTAAAGAAGTGGTGTTCTTGGTAGAAATCATCACATCATGGCAATGACGCATCCGGAGACACAACAAGATCCAGATTGTCCAGTGCAACATTTTCAACGCAAATGCATAAAATCAGCCAGGCTTCGAAACTCCATGTCATGATTCAATTTTTTTTTGCCCGTATGTTTAAAGAACTCGACTGTGATAAGATGTTATGATGACCGAAGCTTGTGTGTACCTATTCTTTCATGACTTTGTGGCTTTCCTCATCGTCAAGCCAGTCAAGATGGCCGGGAGATATGACTTTTAATCAATGTTTGACGTTACAAACTATTCACTTTTTCATTGTTGTGATGAATTTGGGACGTCGGTGTAGTTTTGTGTTATTTTAATTTTGTTCCTTCACCTTGTTTCCACAATGTGTTATTTAGTAAGTAGTTCAATAGGGTGGCCGAACATTCTTATGTAGAATCAGTGAAGAATGTTTTCTGAACAGCCTTTACGAGGACGTTAAGTTGCTTTAGGATGGCCGAATGTGGAAATGCACATGCCCTGAGGAAGATAGTGAATGAGGACGACGATAAGGACGGAGTTACGCTCGTGCCGTTTCGCCTGTGTGGCGTTTTGTAGCCTGTGTGGCTTGTGTTTTCTTGAGAGTTAAGTAAAACCTTCCCTTTCTACAACGTCTCGGGTGCTCCAAAGACGCCGCAAGATAACCAGCGAACATTCTCGTGCTCTGAAATCTGCTGTAAAAACGGCAGAAGACGAATATATAAATGCTACTTTATGTAGCTTTATCAAAAATATTCTTCTAGGTTTTGGCGACACCTAAATTCGGAGCCAAGTAAGATCAGTAACTTATTCCCGGCCGAAGATGCTGAAAAGTCTACGATGTTCAACGGTTACATTGTTTTTATACAAGGCCATGGCAAAAAAAAAAACCTAAGTAATCTTCCATGTAACACTGCGATGCTAGACGACTTCGCTGAATCTGGCATTTTTCGCGTACTGACACTAAATATCTTGTGGCCCCGATAACACACCAAACACATTTTTGAAACGCTACGCAGAACGGGTGTCAAAATTCTTACTGATTATGTATAATAAATCACTGAGAACTGGCAAATTCCCACATAAACAGAAAATAGCCAAGGTTATCCCTCTGCACAAAAACCGGCGACCTTACCAACACATCAAATGACCGACCAATCGCGCTTACCTGTAATACCGGAAAAAATGATTGATAATCCCGAAGAACATTATATCTTTTGCAGAAAAAAAGAGTCACAGTTTCGCCGCTAGGGCGAAGCAATGAATGCGATAGCAACAACTTGGAATGAAAAACGGCTAGCAGATTGAAACGTGCAGCGCGCTGCTAACGCAAAAATGAAGCACGATAACAACACACACATGACAAAAGTGAACTAACACTGTTTACCGCTCGATACTTAACGCGTTGCTTAAACTAAAACCACGTACGAAACGTAATCACAGGTACAGGTATGAGTGCGAACTAACAAGTGACCCAGTTGCTACTTTGATGTCTTTGAATAGCGCTCCCTTTTCGCAAACTGGCCTGTCCGGCGAGCGAATAGATCTTTGTGCGCCTGGTTAATTAAATGCAATTGTTCCGGTCGAAGGCACGCAATTCTCTCCACCGAAGGAGAAACGCACGCGCACAATCATCAACCCCCCCCCCCCCCCCATCAGCAGGGCAATGTACTCGTGGGAGACTCGACTGTACGCGTCCCAGTGCGTGTAAACTTGCGAAGGAATCGTGAGGATTCCCGAACACGGTCTGCGACGAGCAAAGCGTGGGTGAAACATCGGATGAAGGCAGAAACGACGTGTCCAAAATAAAACTCTTTATTTGGCAGAACTAGAGGCTGGGAAGGAAGCAATGTGCGCTGTAAACTGATATCGCGAACACAGCGTCGTGAAAAGCTGACAAGTGGTGATGCGCGTCGGCATTTATGCATGTGTTATCGCTAGCAGGCGTGCAAATGTCACATCGGAAGGTTCTGCGCGGCGCAGGAGCGGACCTTCCTGGAGGCGGCCGAGCGGGGCGACCGGCACACGATGATTCGCTGCCTGTCGCCTCCGGAGCCGGTGAACGTGAACTGCACCAACATCCTGGGCCGCAGCGCCATTCAGATCGCCGTGGACAACGAGAACGTCGAGATCGTCGAGTTGCTGCTGCGCCAACCGGACGTGCAAATCGGGGACGCTCTGCTGCAGGCCATCCGAGAAGGCGAGCTTACTTGATGGTCGAGCCCGCGTGACCAACCGTACTGCGCATGCGCGCCTTTCTCTCCTCCGCCGCCCTGTGTCGCAACGCATCTGCTATATCGCTCCCCCTCTCCCAGTGGCATTTACCTCCTCATTGCGCGTCCATCACTCTCTCTTCTTCTACGCTCCCGCTTCTCTCACCTCGTAACGCCGAAGCAGGCAGCTGGCCAGCGAGATTCTCGATCAAAAAAAAAAAAAAAAAACCCGACTGCTCATTCTGCACAGCCATTCACATGCCACCCCAGCTATATATGTTCGGGGGAGTGACACGCTCCCCCGAACAGGAGTGGAGGCTGCAATTTCACGGAGCTACAGCCGTGCAGTGCATTAAGGCGATAGCTTTAAATGCCTCAACTAAAGCAAAAATTGAGCGCTGGTTTTCGCGTCGGTGTTCTCGCATTGGTGGCGTGAACACCAGTGATGCAAGAAATCATCATTACGTGAAAACGTCATCATATGACGCCACATATCATAAATGTTAGTGACGTACCGGAAGGTCACATACCTTGACGGCACCATATAAGATCTTGGCTTGGTTGAAATGGGCCAATCATGAGGGCAAGTCATAACCAGCTGAGGGGCAGAAAGCTAGCTTTGTGTCCAATCCAAAACCATGTTGGGGGCATAAATATCCCGGAGAGAAGTAGGAAAGATTCAGTGCATCCAATCAAAAGAAAACCAGAATAGTTCTTGCCTTTCAGTCGTCTCAGGGGAATCTGTAACGGGACCAGTGAGTTTTTTTCTTAACTACTTAGAAATGCAAAAAAAAAACAATCTGTTTTTTTTTTGCGTCACATATTCAGAGTAGTACACAGCAGTATCATATAGTGAGGCATGCAAATGATGAGGCAGCATCAGCATTAAAAAGGTAATGAAACGGTAATGCTCTAAAACTCGAACCATATATCGAACCAGTAGCAAGGCCCGACAGAGCCCGGTGAAAACAGCGTGCCGCTGGATGGATGGATGGACGGACGGACGGACGGACGTAGACATAGTAGACATAGTGAAAATAAAAACGAAATAGACTTTATAATGAGTGCACACCCAGGCATCGTGCAGGATGTGTAAGTGGTTGACAAGGTACGATGCAGTGACCATAGAATGGTACGGTCTCGAATTCGCCTAGACTTGAGGAAGGAACGACAGAAACTGATACGCAACAAGCCAATCAATGAGCTAGCACTGAGAGGGAAAGTACAGGAATTCAGAGTCTCGCTTCAGAACAGGTACTCGGCTGTTAGTGAGGAAACCAACCTTAGCATAGATACAATGAATGATAATCTGACGAGTATCATTATGGAGTGTGCAGTGGAAGTTGGAGGCAGGGTAGTTAGACAGGACACTGGCAAGCTTTCCCTGAAAACAAAGAATCTCATTAATAAGCGTTAAATCGTGAAAGTTTCAAGTACAACAGACAAAATAGAACTGGCAGAGCTTTCGAAGTTGATTAATAGGCGTAAGGTATTCGATGTAAAAAGGCATAACATGGATAGAATTGAACACGCTCTGAAAAACGGAGGAAGCGTCAAAGCAGTGAAGAGGAAACTTGGGATAGGCAAAAATCGGATGTATGCACTAACAGACAAAGAAGGCAAAATAACTACCAATATGGATAGGATAGTTAAAATAGCCGAGGAGTTTTACAGAGATCTGTACAGTAGCCAGGACAACCACGACATTAATACTATAAGAAATAGCACTAACCCAGATAACACCCCACCAGTAATGATAGAAGAAGTCAGAAAAGCTTTGGAGAGCATGCAAAGAGGCAAAGCTGCTGGTGAGGATCAGGTAACATCAGATCTGCTGAAAGATGGAGGACAGATTGTGTTAGAAAAACTAGCCACCCTGTTTACGAGGTGTCTCCTGACGGGAAGAGTACCAGAGTCTTGGAAGAACGCAGCATCATCTTAATACATAAGAAAGGATATGACAAGGACATGAAGAATTACAGGCCGATTAGCTTGCTCTCTGTAGCATACAAGCTATTTACAAAGGTAATTGCTAACAGAGTGAAAAAAACTAACATTAGAATTCAATCAACCAAAGGAACAAGCAGGATTTCGAATAGGCTACACAACAATCGACCACATTCATACTATCAATCAGGTAATAGAGAAATGCTCAGAATATAACCATCCACTATACATAGCCTTCATAGATTACGAGAAGGCGTTTGATTCAGTAGAAATATCAGCCGTCATGCAGACACTGCGGAATCAGGGCTTCGATGAAGTACATATAAACATCCTGGAAGAAATCTACAGGGGATCAACTGCTGCCATAGTGCTTCATAAAGAAAGCAACAGAATACCAATCAAGAAGGGTGTAAGGCAGGGGGACACAATCTCCCCAATGCTATTTACCACGTGCTTACATGAGGTTTTCAGAAGCCTAGAATGGGAACAGTTAGGGATAAGAGTTAATGGAGAGTACTATAGTAACCTGCGCTTCACCGATGACATTGCATTGCTGAGTAACGCAGGGAACGAATTCCAACTCATGATTACGGAGTTAAAGAAGGAGAGCAGAAAGGTGGGTCTTAAAATGAATCTGCGGAAAACGAAAGTATTGTACAACAACCTCGGAAAAGAGCGGCGCTTCGAGATAGGTAATAGTGCACTTCACGTTGTAAAAGACTATGTCTACTTAAGACAAGTAATATATATATATATATATATATATATATATATATATATATATATATATATATATATATACATATATAGGCAGCATGCGGTGCAGCGCAGACGTTTTTTTTTTTCTTTCGGGTCTACAATAAACATAATGGTGGGGGGAGGGTAATGTTATAAGACGAATGCTGCATGCTGCTTCCGGTCTCATATCGCAACGCACGTGGCAGCTGCTTATTCATCGAAGTTTATTGTCTTCATTTCTTTCTTTCGCCCCACCCCCCCTTTTTTTAATGGTACCGTCCAACCATCGCTTAATGTCCATCGTAGTCACCAATAGCCTATTTAAGCGACCGTCATGCGTGAGAAGCCTTCGCTAATTCGTTCAACTTACGTTTTAGGGCAGTCAAAGCGCCGTGCGTTAGGAGGCAATCACGTGATATTTTTTTAATTTAGCGCACTTTAAACAAAACTTGGAAAAACATTAACCAACGTTGTTATATTAAAGTAACTTTAAAATTTTCTTATTTCTGAATAACAGCGACAAATATTGTATTGAATTTTTTCTGTAGAATAAGTACCTGGAAACTTCATTAAGCAATCTTTGTGAATTACCGTACCTGGCGGCTCAAGGAAAAATACTTTGACGTGCTACATACCGCTAAGAAAAATGCTGCGCTAGCTGGAGACGCGTAACACTCGTTTTTAATTTTTTATTGCTTGGTGCTTTTTAGCTGAAGCGTCCTGTGTAGCGCAAGCATTTGGCCGCCTTCCTCGCAGGTGCGTACAAAATTGTGGAGATGCTGATCGACCACCCGAGCATCACGGCCGAGATGCTGGCCAGCGGCTGGGCGCGGAGTCAGGCGCAGGAGAGCTCCGACTACTCGGCCGACATTTCGCCCGTCATCCTGGCCGCGCACTGCAACCAGTTCGAGATCCTGCAGCTCCTGCTGTCTCGGGGCGCGGGCATCGAGCGGCCGCACGCGCTGTCGTGCTCGTGCCGACGCTGCTGCGAGGACACCCGGCGCGACTCGCTGCGTCACTCGCTGCGTCGCATTCACGCCTTCCGAGCACTCGCCTCGCCCGCCTGGATGTCGCTCACCAGCGAGGACCCCATACTGACCGCCTTCAAGGTGCTGCTCCCTCTCGGTCGCGTTCTTAATTCCACCGTTTCATATTCTATTCTCAATAATCTCGGCGAATGTTACGCACTCCTTGACCTGTGCGAATCACGTGTCCTCTTTTAGACATCATTCCTAACTAATTTTAAGCCCTATGCAAAATGCCCTTAATCTTGTCACACACAATAGTTCTTTATAAAGCCAACCAGCAACTTTGCGCTTGGTGGTGTATACTTTGCGCCATAAAAATCTACCACCGTCGTCATCATCACCATTTCTCTCTCGCCTTGCTTCATCAGAAGGTTTGTCATAAATTTTACATTAGACGTGACAAAATACGCCAGGCCTGCACGGAAGGTGCAGCACAGTCACAGCGAAAGGTAGAAGAACGGCTTTTCAGAGCCTTTTATAAACACGCGTTGGGTAACTGCTGCAAGCACGCTTGGTTGATACCCACTACGGCATTAATAATAAAAAATTTGGGTAGTAGGCTGGCATTTGCATGCTATACTTCATCATTCTTCTGAGAAGGTTGGTATCCGCTGAACACTTGCAAGGAATTTTGTGCCTATTGTTCATGCAATGGCTTAGGACGATAAGGAATCATGCCCTCGAATGAGGGTGCTAGTTCCGGCTCGTCTGCAAAGAGTGGTAGCTCTTCATACTCACAAATCCACCATGCAGATTTACAGGAATGTGCATGCATGGATGTTGACCCGCGTGCACAGAAACGAAGGGGACCTCCGCTAAAGGTTTCCGATACCTGTACTAACTATAAATCAAAGAAAGTTCTACCTAAAGTCAAGAGTACAGCTAACATTTTGGAGAAGGCAGTAGCCTCTACGGTGATTTTGTCACCGGAAGATAGATGAGAGTGTTGCAGTGTAACTGTCGATTCGTATTTGCTTCTTTTACTGATCTCAATGTTTTGATTTCTCAGAATCATCCAGATGTTATTATATGACAAGAAACTTGGTTATTCCCAGATAAATTCTTTAGTTTGCGTAACCTTCGACCATTCAGGGTAGATCGTACATCCAGAGGAGGTGGTTTACTCACTCTTCTGTCTAATAAACTCTGCCATAAAACAAGACTATCCTTTCAGCTGATGTCTATAAGTTAAATATTAGCAGTAGAACCAACTCTTCAAGGAGGTCTCAAATTTTCTCTGGTTAATGCATATTTTCCTTTGGGTGTGCTAAATACTCAGTCACTAGATTCAGTTCTTCTAAACGGAGGAAAAAAAGGTTGTGCTAGCTGGAGATTTCAACTCTCATCATGTATCATGGGGATTTAGAACGGATCAAAATGGAAAACGTCTATGGAACTGGGCGACATTGAAAAATTTCACCTGTCACAACACTCTAAACATTTTTACGGGGTTATTGCCGTTTGGTGCTAGATCTTACGTTTTTGGGTCCAGGGATTTCGGTGTTGTCCTGGGAGACTGTTGACACTGGTTCAATTAGCGACCACATCCCCGTGATATTTGATATCCACGTGTGACAGTACTAATGCGCAGCGTCTCGTTCGTTCGTTTATTGACCATAATAGGTTTAAAATAAATTTGCGGGCAATTTTTATATCTTTGACTAAAAATCCAAGCAGCGCAGGTAATGTTTGTAATATTCTTGACTCTGCTCGTAAGAGGTCGGAGCTCAAGATACAAGGAATGAAAGACCCTACAGCTAATATTTGGTGGAATGACGACTGCTCGACGGACTGCAAACACCGGAAAGCAGCGTGAAAGCAACTCATGCATAATCAGTCTCCTAGTAACTGGAACAACTGCAAGTTTATTGCAGCGAGTTTCAAGTGTACTATCGCGAAAGCAATAGATGAATATAACGTTCACAATTTTGAGTTCCTTCCAAAATAAAACAATAAAAGCACATTGTTCCGTTATCTCGAATCTATCAAATTAATTCGACGTCCCTTAAATGCAGAATCAATAGTACATACTTTCCAAGAAATAAAAAATTCACTAGGTGCAACAAGCCAGGGGTTTGGAGGCTAGATTTTCTACCGACATTCATTCAACTCTTGTGAGGCAAGACACTCTCGAAAATACTGACGATATATCATTGTCGGTCCTCTCACCAGTTGTAGCATGTTTACCAGCGGCAGCACCAGGCCCTGATGGTATCACTACGAAGATGCTGAAAATCTTTATGGGTGTTGCTCCGAATGTGTTATTGGATACCGTCAATTTTTTTTTATTTATATACCTTAAGGGCCTCCAGGGCATTACATGAGGGGGGTTTCATACAGTAATTAGTGACAACAGCAATGTTTAACAAGAAAGGAAGACAAGAAAGCATGCTCAGGATACACAGTCTGTCAACCAAGATAAGCAAGAAATAGCACAGCAAGGTTTTCACAAGCGAGCACATTGAAAAGCTGCACGACACGTTATACAGCAATGCCTAAGATTGTCCAACACATTCAAGGAACGCAAATAATGCAGACGGGAAAGAGGATTGTCGTGTGTGCGTTACAATGCTGGCAGGCAGAGCGTTCCACTCGATTATCGCTAAGACGAGGGGGGGGGGGGGGGGGGGTTAGTGGCGTTTTTTTTTTTTGTGCGAGAAAATATAGGTTCAATTTTATGATCATGGTCGACGCGTGCGGAAATGTACATAGTAGGGTGAATGAACGTATGGCGGAATGGCGAATCACTGTATTCTATATTCTATAAAACACACTGGATAATTATTGCATAAAACACTCTTGGGTTCCTTCTGTGTGGAAGGTAGCTAAAGTGATATCCCTGCTTAAAGATTACAACAAGGGACTTACTCTAGACAACATTCGACCGATTTTGTTAACATCCAATTTTGTAAAATTGATTGAAAGAGTATTGCATCCTCAGATAACTAAATTTGTTACTGTTAATAAATTATTAAGTTCTGTCAAATTGATTTTAGAACATTTAGAAATTGGTTTATCTGGTGTGCTCACGTTTATTTGGAGAGCAGAATCGAGCTAGCAAGGCGACAGAAACAGTATGCAGCATTAGTTACACTAAGATATCTCTAAAGCCTACGATATAGTCGAATACCCAATTTTACAAAGAAAGATGAGAGAGATTGGCTTGCTTGACTTTTTATTGCGTGGATGACTGAGTTCTTGCTGGACAGGGAGTTTTACTGTGTACAGGGTGGGATATCAACATAGAAATCCCGACAAACACGAGGTGTTCCCCAAGGATCGGTTTTGTCCCCGCTACTCTTTAATATCTTGCTTAGCTCCATTCCTCATCATCAAGGAGTGAACACGTATGTTTACGCCGATGCCATAGCATTATTTGCATCTGCGGATGACATACAATCACTTTATACCCTTTTACAAAGATACTTTTCGACCTTGGAAGCTTGGCTAGACAGCATTCGTTTAACTCTTTATGTACAGGAATGTGCAGTTCTACCGTCTTCCCCGCAAGAAAATATAAATGTATCACTCTCATTCCACCAAGCAGATGTTCCCCAAGTGCAAGCACTCAAGTACCCCGGAATCATCTATGATGCAAAGCTCCACTGGAGGATGCATATTGAACATACAGTGACCAAAGCGCCACGTGCGTTAGGCCTACAATACGTACATACGTATATACGTCCCGTGTAACCACGCGAAAATTGAATTTTTGAACCGCTCGCGCAACTGGCCATAGTAACGTGCGGCGGTTCTTTTTTCCATGAATCAAATAGAAACGAACAAGCAGCATTTTATTGCATCTCTTGATGCATGGAAGGTTCTTTATTTAGTACAGTTGGATCTATTACTAGTGATTAATTGTAGGCGGTCCATCTGGTGTCATCGGGATCATTTTGAAAATGTCCTACTGCGGCGCTTGTGTTATTGTGTATTTACCTTACTTTCTCGGTAAGTAGAGCACTGTTGATAATAAAGTAGTTTTAGATGTTACCATGCATTGAGCTTTCAATCTGACGTAAATTGTTATTTGACTTTAGTGTCCCTTCAAAACCTTATGAAACACTTTATGAAAAACCTTGAAGGTTTCCCCGATGAAGCATAAACTTAAGGCCACTTGCCTCTCGGCCCTACTTGTCCGTATAGCTAAGCTCTCTTCAAATTATAGTCTGGGGGTTTCAATGAATTGTGTTATTTCGCGCCGTAGATTTCCTACGGAATATGTGAAATTTCTGGATGTAAAGTTGGCTCACGCTGAACAGGGCAAATCGGAGGCCTGTGAAGTGGTGAACACAAAATAAGCTCGTCGTGGTAACGCCCAGTGCGCAGAATAAGTTTTACGGCAAAAAAAAATAGATAATCAGTCCGCAGTATTTCTTGTCATTACTGTCAACCAGAGCACGAGAAATCAAGCATTGTGAGCGTAACGGCCACCGCATGGAGCCCACATAATGGACCGTTCTGTCGCAGCTTTCCTGGGAGCTGGGCAGACTGGCGCAGCGTGAGAACGAGTTCAAGGAAATTTACCTAGAGCTGAGCAATCAGTGCAAGAAGTATTCATGCGAGCTACTCGACCTGTGCCGTAGCAGCGAGGAGGTGATCGCGGTGCTCAACAAGCGCACCGACGACCAAGTCCCCGCCGAGGACTACTGCCATTCCCAAATAGTGTCCGAGGGCCTAACGCTGTCGCGGCTCAAGATGGCGCTCAAGTACGACCAGAAGCAGTTTGTGGCGCACCCAAACTGCCAGCAGCTGCTGACCTCCATCTGGTACCAGGGGCTGCCCGTGTGGCGGCGCCGCAACGCGCTCAGCAAGACGTGCATCTGCGCTGGCCTCATCGTGCTGCTGCCGGCGATCGCCTGCTACTACCTGGCCTTTCCGCGGTCCCGCTTCAGCCGCGTGGTGCGGTCGCCCTTCATGAAGTTCATCTACCACAGCGCCTCGTTCGGCTGCTTTTTGCTGCTGCTCATCCTGGCCTCGACGGGCACCGACCGCGCCCGCCAGAACATCCGCGGCCCCGCCCCGTCGGCCGTCGAGTGGCTCATCCTGTTCTGGGTCACCGGCATGGTGTGGGCCGAGTGCAAGCAGCTCTGGGAGGAGGGCCTCAAGGCGTACGTCTGCCAGTGGTGGAACTGGCTCGACTTCATCATGCTTTCGCTCTACTTGACCACCGGATCGCTGCGCGCTGTCGCCTACTTCCAGGTGGGCAACTCGCTTTTGACTCAACCATGCTTGTGCTCTCATGTTGCACAGCGTAGCTTCGGCATTGGCCATGCTGCAGGTGCCGCAATACAAATATAGCGCTGTTTTCAAAATCTGTCACCCTAAGCGAAAGCGGGTACAATTGTACAGGATGTGCTTTGAGCCTTAGCAAGTACATTACATGTTCTACACGCTATAGCGAGTCTGATTGCCTAGTGTTAAGCTTGAAGTAGTTATTTGCGTGTACAGCGTCATGTCCCATCTTGCCTGCTGAATCGTCGTCGCACACATAAAAGTTACGAGTGCTTTTCGTGCAGCGTTATGTGTACTGTTCATTTATTGCACACCATTGCGATTGCTGCAGATTCCAAGCACATTTTTTTAAAAATGAAATGTTCTTAAAGGAGCTTCGCGTGCTGCTCTGACAGTGGTGCAGGCCTTGTATATCGTAGTGATCTGGCAGGCGCTACAGTACTACATGGGGACGAAATTCATGAGCGTTATTACCTGGGCGCCTGATGGCCAGTACTTGTTCGTATTTCGCACCAGGAGTCTTCAAGAACGGCGGTAGCTCTTGTGAGGCAGATAATAATCCTGGTAATCGGTTTTCTGAACTTTAATAATTCGGAGTGTTGTCTTCGATACAACCCACTCTGTATGTGTACTCAAGGGGGTAGCAGAGATAGTAACGTCCGCCGACGGTATTCACAGGCATATAACATATTATCTGCATACCTTCTTATTGCAAACGCCGTCATATTGCCTAGCAGGCGTCTCCATTCGTAGTCTGGCAACCAACCCACTGGCATGTGCGAAGCTTTGTGTTGGTATTAAAGGTATTCACTTGGGTCTAGTTTTTTTTGTTTGTTCTGTCGCACTGATTTTGAAATCAAGTATAGCAGTTGAGGTAGGAAATGAGCCTGTGAGACGCCTTGGAAGGTTGTGACCAGTTAGGGTGAGATAAAATGAGTATGATATAAGACGGCGCGAAAGTGTCGCAAGTGGTTGATGTCGTAATTTTTCGGAACTTTTCGTTCAAAAAACGTGCAAATAATGCAGCTCTTTATAGAAGGGCAAGGAAGTGCTGGCACTTTCTGAGGATAGAATAAATTTCTTTTCTGGACTGTAATTTCTAAGTTTGTTTTTTTCATTCGTGGTTAGTTTATGCAGCCACTACCGCTCGTGCATGCGATCTTGCGTTAGCACGCAGGCGCCAGTTTTTGGCAATGATGGCACCTGTTTGTTGCTTACGATGAATTATCATGTTGATGCTCGACTTTTAAGTGACTGCTTATTACTCGCTCGTTTATTTCCCACCGTCGTGAACAAAATTAGAACTGTCTGCTGCCACATATAAAAAGGGATGCTGATTTATATGCCAGCGCGCAATTTTTTTCTTTTCTTTTTTTAGTCGTGGTGTTGGGTTGGATTTAGGCGGGGATAAAATAGAGATGGTTAGAGAGATTCTGCTGCCGGTGAGGCATGAAGCGCACCCAGGTTCCAGCCTATGACCGGAATTATGTGTAATATATCTTTCTTTAATAACATCGTCTAGCAGTTGTGCCGTTTTCCTTTTTTTTCGCAAAATTCAGGCTGTCGTTCACAAAGCTAAGCAGCAAAATCGGAAGAGGAACACTATACAAACGTAACAACGTGGTTTTTGTTTTGATACTAGAAAAAAAAATTGTTGCATAGCGTTGCGTGTGATATAGAACACAGATGATTGTTGTGTATCGGACTTTTCAGACACGGTTGTGGACGATCGAAAACTGTCTTCCAAAGGTAGTTATTCTACACACGAAGGGACCGAACTCTTACTTTTTTTTTTCACTGTTCGGCTTTAGTATTGTCCATCGTACACCATACATTCCGCTGTCTTACGTAAGTTGTACACTCACGACAAGAATTTTGCCACGTCTTATTCATATATTGTTCAGTGAAGGATCGGGCTGCCCAAGGCTGGTGCGGAGGACTTAATAAATGTGTGCAAGTGAGAGATTTCTCGTACGACATACTAAATTGTATTAACAAATTAAAGTGAGAACAACACAAACGGCCACTCGAGTGCGACTTAGATGTTTGGCTCTTTAACGTATAGGGCAGTAATTTACCGCTTATGTTTTGTCGGTAAGGATGCCATATCTGGTTGTCATTTGACTTAGTGGAACACTGGGCAAAATTCCGTATATATTGTAGCACTCGTCGATATAGAACTTGTAACCTAACATAAATGATATAACTTGAAGGGCACAAAACCAGAAAAACGTCGTGTTTGGCTATTCGCATCGCATATTTACTCAGGCCGCAGTTTTATTTTTTCAGTAGTTTTCAGAACAGCCAAAAACGGCGCAGTGGTTCCCGTTGACCTTTAGTTGGTTGTCACCGCAATAAAAGAGACTAAATTTTATAGCTTCACCTAAAAACAAGCCAAAATTGTTCGACAACGCCATTCATCCAAGCATGAGTCCATACACTTCAGGTCGTCTGCACGATCCAGAATAGGAAAGCACTGGTTGCCAGTTCGAATAGGTTGGCAAAATAAGTGTAGCCCACGCAGACTCTTTAATTAAGTAGTTTGTTTTCATGCAGGTCTCAATGGGACTCAGACTAACCAAAAGTTTGCTGAAGCAGAGTCCTTCAATGCTTCAAAGTATTGAAGGACTCTGGCTGAAGCGAACTCACTCGAACTCAGACCCCCAAAATTATAACTGAGTTGCACTCACTCAGGTGTAGACTCACGAATATTTTCGTCAACCGGACTCACCCAAACTCAGACTCTCCAAAGTTTTCTTCAAGTGCATTCAGACTCAAACTCAATTTGGGCTCTGACTCACCTAAGTACACTCAGCCGGACTCACTCGGACTTAGAATCACCAATAGAAGTCAGTCTGACTCATTCGGACTCAGACTCACTTAAGTATAACTCAGTCGGATTTACTCTGACTCACGCCTCAATCTGAGTCTGATGGAGCGTGAGTGAGATTACTCGTGAGTTATATGTCAGTTCGGTTCCCTTCGCTCGGTGGAGCAGTCTACATGTGTGTGACAGAGTCATCAGTGGAAGTGTGGCGTCGTGTTCGAAAGCAAAGTATGTGAACGTTTCTCGAGGCGTCTTCACACCCCGGCCCTGTTGTGACCATTTTCCAGGGAGGATACTGGCGTGGTTGGCTCTTCAGAGGGAGCAGCATCCGCACCTTTGAAGTACTGACTCATGCACATGTATGATTCTGGCAGCAAAATGCACACAGTAGCTTCAGTAGCAGTCAGCCAAGCTTCCTGCTGTTGATGTGTCTTTCATTAACTCTAGGCGCACCTACAACGCTTCGGCTTGAATACTAGTCTGAAGATTTGATTGGCACCTTCACGTAAGGCCGTGCACTCACACATCGGCTTTGCAGGGAATCATTTGGAGGATTTTCGCTGCGAGCTATTCCTTCAGTAATCGAACTTGAGGTGACGTCGTCTTTTACCCATCACAAATCAGTCCCCCAGAACTTGTGACTTGACACGCACCAAACATAAGGGCCCCTTGAAATAGCAGCCTGCTTCCTACGTGAACTTTCTTTTTTGATTCGTCTGCTGATATGAAAATAGAGCTTTTTTCGAATTTCCTTCATTTTTTCCCAGCTGTTTATGTTCGTCTGAAAACTATCAAACAAATTAATGAACAAATCAATGAGTCAACGGTGCAGCGCTTAACACTCTTTATTGATTGACGTCTTTTGTCGCCTTTGTGTGTGTTCAAAAGCTATTCCATTACACTCTGTTTTTGATCTATAGGATTTGCCGATTCACTCATTAGACTGTTTGTATGCTATCCCTTATGGTTACGTATTTTTTTTGTGTGCTGAAGACAAACTGACCGAGCCCGAATAAAGAGTGATGTCACTTGACGACCTCCAACTATTTACATGCTATGGGCCGTCGGTAAAATGTGACGAGCAAATCTCACTAATGGTGTAGTCTCCACGCTATACAATCTCACTAATGGTGTAGTCTCCATGAAAAGTCCCTCCTCGCATTTCTAGAGGATGTGATCTTTGTTTGCTATGACATCACAACTTTCGCGTATTGAATCAATCTGTGAAGAGCGCTAACTGGGGAATCAGGGTGTTAGTGGTATACAATCGGCCGTCATTTTTGTAAGGTATAGCACTGACGGATTCAAATAGGCCACTCGGAACGCGCGGCCGCCGGCAGAGATAGCGCAGCTCGTCGGTGCTCGGGGAACCAAGGTGTTGCATTGTGGCATTGAACGAGGGGGAGAACATCTGCGGACCTGGATTGCTGCTTCCGGTCGCCAACGAGTCGGCGTGTGGTTAAGTTAACCACGGGCACACTGCCAGGCTAGCGCGCTTTCACATGCCAACAAAAGGCACTGCGCCGTGCTCCCGACCGGGATGCAGAAATTAGGTGCCTTTTCTCATCTTCTAACCACTACCACCATGCCAACAAAAATGGCTCGCTGGTAGCCACCCTATCGCTGGTGTACACGATTGCGGCGCGAGCAGACGACGCTCTCGTTCTGCGCCTTTCAGCGATGCGGCACGCATGCTCTTTAAGTAAGAAGAGATTGTGCCCAGCCTGCACACGTTTCCAGACATGGTAAACATAAATAATAGCATAGCGAGTTAATTTTGGGCTTTCTGTCGCGACAAATAAAAAAGAGCAGTCACAGGCCTAGCAGGGCCACGCTAGCATTGTGAAAATGGTTAACTACACGCCGACTGGCTGGCGACTGGAAGTAGTAATCCAGCTCCGCAGGTGTTCTCCACCCCGTTCAATACCACAATACAACACCTAGGCTCCTTTAGCCTCCACGAGCTGCCCTACCTCTGCCGGCGGCAACGCTTTCCGGGCGTCCTATTTCAATCCATGAGTACTGTACATTGGAGGCTTTCCCGTCTGGTTCCAGGCAAAGCACGACGTATACAAGAAACTCTGCCATAGACTGAATCACTGGTGTGCAGGTGCAGAGCGGGCAGTACGGCGCTCGCGTTCTGGACCGCGTGCAGTGGCCAGCCAATGACCCGACGCTCATCTCGGAGGGCGTGTTCGCCATGGCCAACGTGTTCAGCTTCGCGCGCATCATCTACCTGTTCCAGACCAACCCGCACCTGGGTCCGCTACAGATCTCGCTCGGCTGCATGATCGTCGACATCGCCAAGTTCCTCTTCATCTTCTTTCTGGTGCTCACGTCGTTCGTGTGCGGACTGAACCAGCTGTACTGGTACTACGACCCCACCATGGGCTTCTGCGAGACGAAGGAGGTGGGCGGCGTCAACATCACCTTCAACTGCCACCACAACCCGGATGCCTTCCTCACGTGAGACTACTCCTCCCTAAAGTCATTCTCATGCCCGAGTAGCAAATGAATTTTCTTCGGTGTTTTCTTTATTGCTCGTATAATTGAGAATGGACTAATATAACAAACTTAAATACAAATTAGTAATGAAGTATATAAAGGATGAATAATTTAGCTAGATATTAGGGAGGTGGTGCGGTTGCTGCTACTGCGCAGGCGTCGTAACGCGAGCTGCCCTTCTCGGCCCGCCCGCAGAAAATCTGAAATAGCGGGCGGCGTGTGCGGCCCGCGAAGTGCTGTGTGTAGCTTCTGTGCATTTGGGTTTGTGGTCGGGGCGAAAGTCCCTAGGATTTTCCCTATGGGGAGCAAACGCTATTCTGAAGCTCATAAGGTGCCCGCAACTAAAGCAACGCGCGCAACACCTGCAAACGTTATTCTAAAGCTCCCTATTCTTTTAGATTGGCGGATGTCTTCTTCAGTTTCGAAGAAAACAACAATGTGACTGTAGCTTAGAGTATAGAGGCGCCAAAAGAAATAATAACTGATTGTGATACTTCCAAACCCAAAGTTCGAAGAGGTGGTACTATGAATCTTTTACTCAATGACGTAAACCGGTGACAAGATAGAGAAGTAATGACTCATAATCGCTACAAAAGAGGCACAGGGAGGGAGGCGCTGGACGCACTCTATGGAGGTTAAAATTGAAAGAAGTAGCGCGGCAGCGAAATTTGATTATAGCCAGCTCCACTATTCTCGACCTAGATACATTGCTCCGCCAGGAAAATAAGGTCCTTATATTGTGGAGACACTGTCGATACAGGATAAGCTTTTTTCTGAGTGTAAGTGTGTGGAATGCATACTGTTAGCGGAAAAGCCCGAATTATCGGCGCCAAAAGCACAGCCTTTGCTACAGAATCAGTCTTTTTGTTTAACAACAAGCCTTTGAGGCCTGGTACTCATATTAAATGAATTCATTGAAGGAGAGTGAGAACTAGTATTTTAAAGTGCTTTAGCAGAGACGTTTCACCAGATCTTTAAAAAAAAAGAGCACACAGATAATGAGTCACTGATAATCTCAACTACTGTAATTGAACTACTTGACTTTCGTAAAGCTAATGTAACCATAAATTTAGCAATAAAAGGAGAAATAAAACCAGGCAGTCGTAATAAACAAGACCATTCGAGTTCAAGGCAAAATATTCATATGCCAGGTCTATCCTCACATTCCGTAGCGATAACCCCATTTATTGGCAGATTACTTACATGCTCTTGTAACAGCGCGTTTAAAAGTCAGGGTAATAATTTCACGTTTTGAAAAAAAAATGTTGAGGTAGACGATGTCTATGAAGTTAGGTTCCATAGTCAAAGGAAGCACATCGCAAATTATTACATTTATGGAGTCGAGATATATGTTTGAACGAATATGATTTGGAGTTTGCAGAATGTGGGCGAGTGCTCAGAAAAAAAATAAGTCGTGATTAGAGATGAAAGCTATTTTAGCATGCTCAGACAGGGATTCGTACCAGCTTGAGAAAGCCTGCACCGTAACTTGAATCGGCTTACCAGGAATGATGTTTGCGCTTTCAGGTATAATACAGCGTTTGCCACTTATTTCGGAAGGCCTAAAGCACAGCCGTAAAGCCTCGCGCTCTAATATGACTAGTGGCCGAAGCTTGTAAGGTGCCGTGCCGGAAAAAAGAATACCGGCCGTGTACATACAATTTAAAGACCACGAATGGCCTTTATTCTTATATCAGATCTTCAGCTTGCGCAAAACAACCACTGCGCGCACCCCTTTATTGAATATGATATTTCCAATTTAGATGTTCACTATATATAACTGCGAAATATTTTAATTAATCCACTTTCGAGATATTTTGCAGCTTGTAAGAGATGTGCGCACCGGGTCATTAACAGGAAAAACTAGAATATATTAGCATTCAGACTGAGCTATAGACCATCAAGCCAAATTTCAAATTAACTCAAGCGTAACTGCAATGTATTATAAATAAAGGCAATGTATGTCAGTGGGCATTGCAGCAATGTCGACCGCATCAACATAAGTCTTGATCGAACGGGAATAGTACACACCAAGCTGTTAAACAATGCTGATCCCTGAGGCACACCTCCAGTTTACTCGTGTTCACTAAGAAAAGCCTTCTTCAAAACTCCCTTTCTCCTGCGAATTCCGTCCCCTTTGCTACAGTATAAGCAGTGAATCTGTGCCACAGTAAACTAATAATTGAAACGGGATGTTCGAAACTATCCTATGCTTTACATATGCCTATAGTAACTGAAGCTCCGTAACGTTTTTTTTTTTTTATGCCGGGCAATGTGCACTCGACTTGCGAGGTCTAAATGCGCATGCCATATTGTCATGAGGTCGTGACGTCGACAAAGGGGAGCAGACAGTACTTTGAAGAATAATCTATTAATTCGGCCAAACCTGTGGCCACGTAAAAGAAAGTAAGGTTACAGCGAGACACTGGCACTGATAGCGGCGAACAATAGCGCCGGCCTTCGATCAACTACTGACAAGCGGCGAAGCGCGTCGGCATTTATACCCTTGCCTTCGATTTAGCGTTAGCGTGAGCGCCGACGTGGGTTCCAGAAAAGTCTATTATGTTAGCGAAGTGGGCGTAATCTTAACAAAATGATCTACTACAGCCTCGCAGCTTCTCAAACATTGTAGGCATGGTTTGTGCTGAACGTAGTGTAACGGGGCGATAACAAAGTTTTAGAAACGAATGTAGCATTGCCCCCCTCTGAAAAAAAAAGGCCCCTTTTCTGCATGTTACACTGCAAATGTCGTGAATGTCGTCGAAAGACGATAGTCTTGCGTCTAGAGAGAGTGAACAAAACGCTTATTTGATGTTCTGCGCAAGAAAATCGGTGAATGGTATTCTGGAGGCGCTGCGTTAGAGTGCCTCGAGTGCACAGTGGAGGTGAACGAGAGCATCGAGGCACGTTAGGGTGCCTTGATGCCCGCGCGCTCCGCTGAGGGTGAGGACAGCCGCGTCGTCTGCTACGACGGCCGCCATTACGGCTCCTGCCGTAGTGGGGCAGCATGCGAAGCGCATTACCGCTTGCGGTGCTCGCGTATGGTAGGAAAGAAGTACTCGTTGGCGAGCTTTTTTTTTGGTGCAACTTGGACACCTCTTAGTGCTGTTGTTGCCTAATTGTTAAATGGAACAACGCACGTCATACAAACTGGTGGCCTGTGCTTGTACAATGCGCCAGGGGCTGACATAGACTGAATGAAATGAGCCACGAACTCCCACACCAGAAAGATTCGCGTTAAACCGTTGTCGTCGTTAAGACGGAGGGGCGCATGAACTTTTATTACTACGCTTGCTGAAAGGAATGCAATATTTGGGTCTTTGTGAATCAGCCGAATAGCAAAGGCAGGAATCGCTGTACTTTATATACTTGCGTGTGTGTGTATATATAACACACACACACACACACACACACACACACACACACACACACGCACACGCACACGCACACACACACACACACACACACACACATTATCTGACATTCGGTACCACCTTCCCCTGCCTCACCATTTCATGCACTGTGCAGGCAGCATACCCGAGAGTAACATGCTTTACCAGTGTACCTTTATGAAACGACACCCACGATTTCAGTGAACAGGCCATTTATTTGTGCGCCTTAATGCTGCGTTGTCCCACTAGTGAAAACCAAAGTCAGATACAAGACAAACCAAATGCAGTACGAAATGAAATGTTTAAAAATAAAAAATGCAAGAGTCAAAAGCATGCCCACGTGAGCCGAAACCTTTTAAGCATACAGCTTATCTTGGCGTGTCCATTTCTCATGAGAGGTTGACGCCGGCACATGTTTTGCTTGCATGTCCATTGCAACTCCCGACTGGAACCTGCCGAAGGTGAATGCGCAGCCTTATTCTTGCGTACCTCTCTGTGAGCAGTCGGTATATACTGTCCTCGTGCTCCGCGCATACACACAAGCTGCGGCGGTGCACCTTGTTTAGGTATGCGGTGAGTGAACGAAGCGGCGACTTCATCGTGACTACTTTGTCCGTGCACCAAGAGTTTATGGCAGCAAAATGCTCCTCATAGTCTATCAAGGCTTTCATAACTCCCTTGCTGGGGTAGATGAGGTTGCCTCCATCTGAAACGTACTCTTTCAGTGCTGTCAGCGAAGCATGCTCGTCGTTGGCAGTTCCAAGGAGAGCATCTTTGCATTTTGCGCACTTCACAGATGTCAAAATTCCCTTCAAAATAAATCCTCCTAGGTAAAAGAGAATACTGCATTCTGTGGACGACAATCCTTCGATGAACAAAATCTCTGAATCATCGATTTCTTGAGCTTCCTTCTCGACGCAGGCTTCCTTCCCCTGGGATAGCAGGTCCACCAGGTACTCCCTGTCATCAAGCTCGTAGCTGGTCGTCCTCGGTGTATGCAAAAATTGGCTTACGCTCACCAGTCTCAGAGCGCACTTGAGATCGTAGGCATTGGGAACCGGCTTCATAAGCCGCACCACAGAAAAGAGGTTCTCTAAGCAGTCCTGCAGGAGCCTGCTCGTAAGAAAAAACTCATAGCCTTCGTCTCCTAAAAGAACGTCTTGGAGGCGAAGTACAACTGTAGTTGATATGAGTACACCTGCTTGCGACGGTTTCCAATGGGATGTGGCACCCATTTTCATAGTTCTGATGGTTTCTATTGCTGTGTGTAATGTATCTAGGGCTTCGTAGTACTTAGCCCTACTTCTCCGACTCAGGGCCAGTGTTGGATGCCGCGAAGACATCAGTGCATACCATTTTGAAATCAGCTCCATGAACCAAGCTGTTGTTTCTGCTTCCTGTTTAAGAACTCCTTCCTTTATAAGGAATCTGATAGCTGGGGGAGCTTCCCGAAAAAGTTGTACAGCGACACCAACCTTCATTTTGGTGAAGTGGCCTGCGCTGGTGTGCATTTCGGATAAGTTTGGGGCTACCTTCAGTTCTCTTTTAGAATCTTCTTCGAGCACAGCC